TAAGTCACTTGGCACACAATGTGAAGGATTGTAATTAAGGTTTGACCAGTAAGGTTAGGATGGATCGAAAGCATGTCGTGGAACTTTTAGAAAGCTGGAACTGAGCGATTTGTTGAGACATGTTCAGGTCTCTGTGGATAGAGAAGTTAGTGATAAGTAGCTTTGGGGGTGATGCTGAGTCTTAGACAGATCACAGGCTAGGTGGTTGAGCAGGAATAATTTCATTGTTGAGGTCATTATGGATAATGAGATTAGTGAAGTACTCAGGAGCTTTGATAATTCATCTGAGGACTTCTGGCTATAAAGATTGCACTGGATTTTGGATAAGCTTATTACTTAAATAAATACCACAGTTCCGCTCCGTCCTTGGTGGAAGCAATTATAAATTGTAAAATTTAGTTGGGTTTTTACGGTCCTAATTTCGTAGTCTTTGTAGCAGTACAAGTCTTCTGTTAAGAAGTCTTCTAATTTCTCGAATTCCACGTGATACTATAAACAATCGTAAGTACGTAATTTGGATTAATTCGTTTGTGTGCATTCGATGACAAACATTTTTTCAATGTGAATGTGATGGCCATGCACTCGGGGGACAGTGAACCTAGCCGACCCTAGCAGGTCATCATTCACTAGCGTGAAGTATTAAGGAACGACAAGGTCTCGAAGGAAATTGTAACTAAGGTTGACCAGTAAGGTTTGGATAGATCGAAAGCATGGTGTTGAACTTTTAGAAAGCTGGAACTGAGCGGTTTGTTGACACACCGTCTAGATAAGACATGGGCAGTAAAGTTGAGTGGATCGAGAGCTTAGCGTGGAAATTTTGGAAACCTGATACTTGTCGATTCGTCGACAAAACGGATGTTCAGGTCTCTACGGATAGAGAAGTTAGTGATAATTAGCTTTGGGGATGAAGCTACTGTTCTTTGGATTGGATAGTCTTAGACAGATTACAGGCTAGGTGGTTGGACTGAAACTTGAGGAGTTCTTTAATATGAAGATTAAAAAACGAGGAAGTCTGGATAAGGCATGGACAGTAAAGTTGGGTGGATCGAGAGTTCAGTGTGGAAATTTTGGAAACCTGGTACTTGTCGAGTCGTCGACAAAAGGTATGTTCAGATCTCTGTGAATAGAATAGACGCAGTATGAAACATGTATGTGAAAAAAAAAATATCGAAAAATGACCATAATGCTCTATGATACGTGACAAAAAACGCTGGATGAATAAGCAAAAGAAAGGGAAAGAATAAACACATATCAAACAAAAATGGGCACTACTGCTGAACACAGACGGTTTAAGGATGACATTAGCTAGGGATGGGCGTTAAAGGGCCAAACTGTACAATTTCTATGGCACTGGGGCAGACTCAAACTGTTTTTCAATTAGAAATACTTACAATAGAACTATGTGCACATGAAATAATAAAAAAAGGGAAGATGGGGAAACATCTGACAGGCAGGCTGAGTTAAAAAGCCATTATGTTTTATGATATAAGCTCTAAACTTATTTAGATCTTTATCGAGGTTTTCTTTGGGATTTTCATCACTAACACTACAGCCAGCACTGCAACCGAAGGACACAACGAGCCGAACGACCCATCATGACGATGACGAGAAGACGAAGCCCGTTTGACTGACTAAACGAGCAAGGTTAGGGACACCGAAATAATCCTAAACGAACATTTTATTGCCAAAAAACAGTTTTCAAGTAATAATAATAATAAAAAGAGTTATGCTAAGGTTTTTTATTTTATTTTTCCTTCACAAATAAGTAGTTCGTTTTAAATTGTACAACTTATTAGTCGGTAGTATATAGGCAGTGAGCCTGAAACATCTATATCACACTTTTGTCCATATTTCAATTTATTTGTAAATAAATTATTCTTATTCTACAATATAAAATATTTGTATATAATAATAATTAATTATTAAAACGCTGGCTCGGAAAACCATTAAATGATCGAATAAGTAATAATTGAACAATAATCAAATAATTATTCAACATTGCGATTTTTTTTAAAAGAAAATCACAAAAATGGTGATAATTTAGACTGAAAGAAGAGTGTTAAGCTTTAAAACGGTTGTAATATTGTTGAATCTTGATAAAATCCCGAGGTGTTATGAATTTTAATTTGTATGGCACCACCCATCGGAGACGAAAACTTGCTCCGGTTAATCAAGCCCAAAAGTGTTTATTTTTGATTGCCATGAAAATTCCTATTTCAGATCCTTCAAGAGTACTATAAACGAATTTGAATAGCATTTGTTCAAAACTAAATTTTTTGGCCGACTTTACTGGATAGTATTTTCTAGTTTTTGTAACTTTTTATGTGTTTATTTAGAAATCGTGAGATGCGGTCTGGTGTGATGTAGGTTTCAGAAAAACATTTTCTTTATCGTGCCAACGTTTCGATCTTTATTGAGATCATCTTCAGGGCTC